CCCCCCCCCCCCCCACCGCCGGTTGCTACGGCCCTGAGAAGTAATAAACCGAAACATATTTACCGATTTACTATTTGTTAAATGTTATCCATGTAAATGCCATGATTTCGTAAATCAGTTTATATTGATACTACAATTATATTATATTTTCTCTGTTTAACAACTAAAATTTTGTTATACTATTATTGACCTAATTTTCCGAATGGCCAACCCGATTTTCCGAATAGTTAATTCTAAAAAAGTTGGGGGGAGGGGATAAACCACCTCCCACCCCCAATACCCCCTCGCCACGGCCATGTCCAAAATATTATTTTGTGTATTGCAAAGCCAATATCAGTTCCCAGTGCATCTGAGTTCACAGTACTAAATAGCATGTATTTTCGAGGAAATTGTTAAAATGTTCACAAGTAACTAATTAATAATAAATTTTATATAGCAGACATAACTTATAGGTGTAACATTTCAAAACGGAGAGGCACACTATATTTTAGTATCAAACACTGGCTTGACAGGCTCGATTTGATGCAAATGACCTTCAGCGTTTTAATAATTCATACGAAATTTAAAAAAAGCATTTTATTCTAATGTAAATGTATAAACGGGTCAGTGTCTGGTTGGCTGGTTACCGAGTATATATAAATAAAATAAAACAAGATTGACAAGAAAAGAATACACACCTTTTCTCAATTTGATTCCTTACTGTGTTTGGAATGTTTCCCCATGACTAAGTGGGAAAATTCGCTTCGTAGTCCACTCAAAAGCATAAGATGCACCAAGATGCACGAGCTTAAGATGCACCAAATCTACAGCCCTGGGCAAACTAGGAAACATTGTTTCCTGCCAATGTTTCGCCATGTTTCCCAAGGTGGACAAACACTAAGAAACAATATTTCCGCAAGAAAATCGCACTTGGAAAACATGAAATGTTTCTGAATTTGATAGGAAACATTACTGCTTCTCGGGAAGCAAATTGTGTTTCTGTAACGATGTTTCCACGGGTAGGTAAACACAAAAACATTTGAAGAAACATGGCGAATCACAATGTTTCCGCAACAATGTTTCCTAGTTTGCCCAAGGCTTACGACGCAGACGTGACATAAAAACCGTTGCTAATGTTTGGAATCCAGTTTTATTAGGCTATATGCAGCTTCACTTGTGTCTCTGACTTTGTTTACCTATTCACTTGTGTCTCTGACTTTGTTTAATTTTTATCCGTGTAGTGAAACTGTGGGAATAGTTACAGTTTTTGTCCACGACTGCGTCGTAGATTTGGTGTATCTTAAGCTCGCTATTGTCTATAAACAGCACCAAGATGCAAACGGTATATAAGAATGTGTATACACCCGCTAGTAATCGGAAGCCGAGCGGGCGCAAACAGTTTCTCAAATTTCATGTATTTGGACTATTTGGTCATGAAACATGAAAAAGCCTGAACATATTTCCTGGAGTTAAATAAAAGGGGAGATGGTTAGCAATGTTTTTTATGTTTTTATGGTTATTTTTTCCAAAATTAATAAAACATGAATGGATTCCAGAACAACCTGGGCTCTGGATTCCGGATTCCTCAGTTATTTGGATTTTAGATTCCACTGTCTGGATTCCGGATTCCAAGACTCTGGATTCCGGATTCCTAAACCAACAAAAAGTCGGATTCCGGATTACCTCACAAGGGGCGAATAGTAAGGAGTGGAAACTTATAGAACGCTTAATTAACATGAATGAAAATAAATTGAATATTAGTCAGTTTTGTGTGGTGTGTTAGCTTATTTGGTATATTAAATTTGTTGTATAAAAAAACTATATTAATTAAACAAAAAATCATGGCCTCTATTTTCTTTAATATCTGATAGTGGCGGTCCAGTTCAGGTCGAATTTGTTTCGCCTTGGTCTTGGAATCGAATTTGTTTCGCCTTTCAGGCAGAATCTGACTATCAGCTAACCAAGAAAGACATTAGAAATCTCAAAAAAGTGTTGGTGCAAGATAGGTAGATTATTAATGTACTAATCAAGGTCTATTTATATGAAGACTTGGGTAGCACGTTCAAATAAACTAAAATTCAATACCGACGATTAACATTGTGTTGTAGAGGTGGTATAAAAGAGACTGCATATATATAGTACAAATACGGCATTCTAACACAGAGCTTGAAGATAGACGATCTTTGGTGATCACATTGGCTGTTCATATATATAGAACGTGTTTCGCCTTGGAATTTTGTTTCAAGCAGAATCTGACTAACCAAGAAGACATTAGAAATCTCAACAAACCGTGTAGGTGCAACATCGGTAGATTATTAATGTACTAATCAAGGTCTATTTATAAGAAGACTTGGGTAGCACGTTCAGATTCAATACAGACGATCAACATTGTGTTGTAGTGGTGGTATAAAGGAGGCTGCTCAATACAAATACGGCATTCCAACACAGAGTTTGAAGAAAGAGGACCTTGGGTGATCACATTGGATGTTATACATACAACGCGTGGATTAATTCCTCACTAGCATGGCATCAGTAGAACACGACACAAGGCAAGACGAGCAGAAGACTGTTCAACTTGATATAACAAACATTTTTCAGGAGCAACATTTTTTGAAGAAAAAAGTATCAAAGACAAAGATAGAAAGGCAACTTATGGAGACCCGTGATTTATGCAAGGAAAATTGCACCTTCATGCACCTTGGAATTTTGTTTCGCCTTGGAATTTTGTTCCAAGCACCTTGGAATTTTATTTCGCCTTGGAATTTTATTTCAGGCAGAATCTGAGTTAGAGAAGAGTTTGACTAATGGTCGCAGGTAAAAAGTCGCGGGTAAAATGTCGCGGGTCGCGGGTAAAAAGTCGCGGGTCGTAAAAAAGCTCCAAACCGTGTATTTTATTGAGTCGCGGGTTGAATAAAATGTGTAAAAATCACATCATTTAGTTATTTAATGGATTTGCATTTACAATTATAATATTTCCAATTGTGTTGTGTAATACGTTCAGGAGTAGTCAAGTTAAATGTTTATCCTATTGTCATACCACAGAACGGCTGGTGTTATGTTACGTACTTCGTGAATTAAAACCACCCTTTACTTTATACCACTACGAACTTATTATATTACCAACGAATGTTCGAAGATGTTAATTATGGCTGCAATTGCGATTTTGTAGATAAATATAGACAAGAACCATATAACATTATCGTAAAGCACGTTGATAGATGGATAGTGCAAAAGGATCCTGTTACACATTCCTATGTTTATAATCCTGATTTTAGTAATACATATTACCATCCAATTTCTTACCATATCAGGCGTAAAAATCCGCTCTTCAGTGGCTCAGTGCGCGTTCTCGTCAAGCCTCCGCGCATCGATCAGTACTTTCCAGAAATAATTGTTAGAGAACAGCGACTTATATATCCAGGTTGTTGGTCAATCATAATGTACTTTTATAATGTCCTAGTATTATTTGTGATACTATATGGTTGTTTTAAATTGGTATAAAACTGATTGTGATAGTAGTGGTAAACTAAATTTATTTCTACCAAAGCCTTGTTTGTTTGTTTGTTTGTTTGTTTGTTTGTTTGTTTGTTTGTTTGTTTGTTTGTTTGTTTGTTTGTTTCTTTCTTTCTTTCTTTCAGAACATATCTTTTTATTGGAGGATTTTTGTCATGGTATAATTGTTGGTTTAACATATTGAAATTATTCTTTCAGGTTTTAGGCTTCTAGCACGTTTATATAGAACCATTAAATCATGACAAAAGGCTCTTGGGCAATGTTTCGTATTGAAGCAATCCTATATAGTTGTTTACTAAATGATAACGTG